AGGAAGAGAAGAACCCAAGCCAGACTACATCTACTTTCCAAACAAGGCTAGGCAGGACTGAGGAGGGTACAGGAGCCCAGAAGGAGGCATTCAAGTCTGCCCCACCCAACAGTGAACAGTAATGGGGTCCTGAGCCTGGGACAGAGAAGATAATAAGGTTCAAGAGTGGACCTGGGGGATGTCCTGCTCAGTTGGGAGGTTGCTGGGGCCAAACCCAATGTGAAGGGCTGGCAAGGCTAATGCTGTCTGAGGTGTTGGAAAGGTGCCTCCTTTAGTGTGAGAAAACACAAAATAAATAAAGCAGAACCCAAGAAACACCACCAAATGTGACAGCAAACATCAGAGATGGACGACCACAGACACAGGCACTTCCTGGACAGGATGGAAATGTGAGCCTGAGGGGGGCAGGGAGGGGTTGCTGATGTACCAGGGAAATCCATGGCAAGGGAGCCGAGCTGGAGAAGCTGTTCTGGGAGCATTAAGGGATGGGTGCTAAGGTAAGCTCGGGTGTTAAGAGGAACACCTGGCCAAGGGCCAGGGCACTTGGTTTGTTGGTGGGAACCAGCTGAGAAGAGGAGGCAGGAGGAGAGGAGTTTTGGCGGAAGATGGTAACAGAGAGGATGGGCAGGAGGAGGGGTAGTGAACAGACTGATCCCAGAGAGAGGAAAGGGCTCGACCAAGAGCAAAGAATGTCAGGGTGGAGGGGTCTCATTCACCGCTGGGGATGCAGCACCTGCTGAGAGTCAGGAAACATGGGTCTGGTCCTGTTTAGTTTGACCTTGGGCAAGCCACTCTCTTCTCTGGGCCTGATTTTTCATCTAAAAAGTTGAGGGGGTTTGACACAAAAGGACAGATACTATGTGATTCCATTTATATGAACTACCTAGAATAGACAAATTCATAGAGACAGAAAGTAGAACAGAGGTTACCATGGACTTGGTGAGGGGGTGGGGAGATGTTATTGTTCAGTGGGTACAATTTCAGCTTGGGTGATAAAAAGTTCTGGAAATGGATAGTGGTGACCATTGCATGGTTTCGTGTCTGGGTTAGATAGTGGCATATTCTGGGTGTTTTGTACCTACACAAAAAAGCCCCCAGTGGGGCAGTGGGTTTACACAGCAAGAAGGATGGAGTTGGGCCAGGGGATCCGATGGACCCAGGTCCTAGTCTAGGCTCGCTGACTTCCCAGTTAGGGGACTCTGGGATGAGATCTGCACCTCAGTTTCCTTATCTGCACTAACCCATCCTACCAAGGCTGCCTCCCAGAGCTGTCCCTGAGAGGTCTGAAGGAGACGGGGCGGTGGGGGGGGGGGGGGGGGGGGGGAAGGAGAGAGGGGAGCAATTTCTAGATAGTAAAGTGCTCTAGGTGGGGTGTGTACAGGATGAGGATTATTATGACTGAAGAGGTAGTAGGAGCTTGTGGGGGCTGGTGAGGCTGGAAGGTGAGGGACATTCTGGATGGGAGGGGAGAGGGAGGAAGAGCCTGAAAGTTGGGTGGGCAAGAGGACAACAGGCTGGTGATGAAACCGTGAAAGGTGCACAGGGATGGGTATGATGGAACCATATAGTGGTCAGCGTGTAAGAGGGTCAAGTCTTTGGGCCCTTGACTTTGTCATCTGGGAGAGCAACTGGGAGAGGAGTGTCCCTGGGGGAAGACCAAGAGGTGGGGCCCATTTTGAGTTCACAGAAAGCAAGACCTCTTGGAGGTGGTTTTAAATTGGTCCGTCTTTGGTGGGGATCAAAGTGGGAGGAAAACAGGGAGACAAGAAACTGGACACAGATGCCTTGTGCATGCAAGATTTAGGAGCCACTGGTGTGCCAACGTGGTCTGATTTTCATTTCAAATACAATCACTGCCACCAGGAGGATCTAATTTGGCTTTGGGAAGAGGTCAGGCACAGAAAACATGAGGTCATCCAGTTTAGGTCAATCTGGGCAATTGACCAGGTCAATTAGGTCAATCAGGGTCCCCTGTGTTCCCTCCCCGGCCAACTGGTGCCAACACACTAAGCCTAGTGGTCTGTAGGAAATTAGGACCCCTGGGTTCCTTGGGACTTTGGTGGAAGAGAGTGGAGATGGCAGAAAAGGAAGAAGGATAGAGGGAGTCAGGGAGAAGGAAGAGGAGGAAAAAGTTCTGGGAGTAAAATGGCAGAGGAGGAGTAGGAAGGGGGAAAATGAGAAGAAGGGCAGTGTTCCTTCCTGGGTGCTCCAGGGGAATCCCCACTGTGGGTCAGGCAGTTTTCTGCTTTGGGAATGTTACCAAGACTTAAAAGGCATTTGAAGAAACAAACAAACTTAGAAATTACATTCCAAAAGAGTAGAGATTTTACAAACCAACCCCCCACACCCCAAAAAAGAAAACACAACCAGTTACTAATTAAAATGCTAAAAATCAAACCAAACCAATATTTACACATAACATTTTCAACCCCATCAAGCCCCATGTCCAGAGGCTTCTGTAGGAACAGTGATGAGTGACCTTGCACAGTGGCATGCAGGAAGTATTGAAAACCAAGATCTGGAGCCTCTGACACCAACTGGAGGGCCGGGCAGCCAGGCGCTGAGACAAGAGATGGCAAGGACAATCTTGGACGAGGACGATGGTAAGGCTGGGCGGTCCATAAGCCTCAGGGCTCAGGTCTCGCGAGGATTTCTCCCCAAGGCTGGGAGTGCTACCTCCCTGACCCTCCACGGCTTGGGGAGATGGCAGAAGGCCTCTGGTGGCGTGTGGCCTGGTGTGAATCCCCTCACCCGGACATAACCTTGGAGGGGCCCCCTGACCTTTTGGGTGGGAGCAGTGGCACCCCAAAGGGGACAGGCTCTTGGCTCCATTGGCCTGCCCACTCTGCCCGCACAAGTCATTATGGCATGAGGAAGTACCTGGTCAGACCGACATGACCCTCACATTCTGCCCATTGGGGATGGATATGAAGGACTTTGGTGACTTGTCCAGGTGACCCTGAAAGGGCAGGACTGGGAGCAGGTGGGAATGCAGAGGTGTCTCCTGAGTCCTGGGGACAAACAAGCAAAACTGCTGGCTTTTGGTCTTCCTAAATTCCACAGACAAGTGGCTTTATTCTGGTATTTCCACTCTGGGCCCCCAGCCAGTTGCAGGAGGTCCACGCATCTGCGTGTGTGGGGGCATGTGTGCAACCGAAATGGGTTTACTGGCACTGACAGGGAGGCCAGCTGAGGCCTTTCCCGCCACATTGCAATGAGCCACATGGCAGAGTCTGTCTGATGGCTCAGGCAGCTCACGTGGGACGTGGGCAAGGGCGGGCAGTGGAGCTGGGGCTGGAACAGGGGCCAGGAGAGGCCATAAGGCTAAGGAAAGAGGCTGGTGAGAAGGCTGGCAGGTGGTGAGAGCTGAGGCAGGCTGGCACTCTCAGGTCCATGTGCAAAGCTGCAATAAACAACATTCTCGAAGTTCAGTCCTGTTTTCCTGTGAGTTCTCATTTGGGGAATTTGGAGAGACAGCCATGCTCTTGACAGAGCCTTAGGAATCTGTGTTTGACTCCTTAAAAAAAGGTTTCTGAGGGAGGGAGGAAAATGAGGGCAGATGGAGAATGTTTGGGAAGTGGGGACGGCGGCCCAGCCCTCTACCCTGTCAGTGAGCGTTTACAGACTGACTGCTGGGGGCCAGCCAAGTACCTAGCAGTGAGTGAAAAGCAGTGCTCTGAGGCCAGATGGTCAGTGGTACTGGGGAGCAAGCTGCAGGGCTCCAGTTCTACTGGGGAGGGGGGCCCTCCAAACTTGACCAAGAGACCAGAGCTCAGCTGCCGAGCTGCCTCGTGGGCATGGGGGACCCCATGCCTGTCCATCGTGTTAGAAGCCTCACTTTGTCCCAATGGCAAGAATACATGTCAGAACCTCCAATAAATTACCTTAGGGACTTTGGGGTAAATTAAATTATTAAAATAAAGTAAAACTACCTTAAATATTTATAGTAAGAAAACTTCAAATAAACAACCGAGGAAATGTGTTTCCAGGCCCCAGTCTACTAGCGTGTCCTGGGGCACTGGCCTCTTGGAGTGCTCCTTGGCCTGGTGTGGCCAGTTGGGAGTCTCTTATTGGGAACATGTCTCCACCAGCCACAGGATGTAAACACAGTGGAGATGTGTCATGCCTCTCCAGGGTGCCAGGGAAAGAGGCCCCCAGCCATCAAGGCAGTGGGTATTTAGGCATTTATCTGTGCACCAGGTCTTGAAACTGACCCTACCTATTTCTGTCTTCAAGGTGTTTCCTGGCAAGGTTGGTGCCCCGCAAGCCACCTTGACCAGGGAGGCAGTTCCAGTGGCTACCCAACCCTGAGCCCCACACTTTTCTACCTCATCTTCCAGTCCTTGCTGCATCCAGGCTATGCACAGGGAGATCCAGGGCTCCAGGATTCCAAGCAGATGCTGGCCCTGGCTACTGCCCTATCATACCCCCTAGAGCCATAGCAATCCAGAGCAGTGGGGCTGGGAGGAGGAAGAAGTGGGGAGAAGGAAGGGATGGGGATGATGCCCACCTCAGCTTCACCAGGAACCCCACGTTGACTCTTACAGCAAAGTCTGTTCTTCTCATTGGTGTTTCCTCCCCGTGAAGGAGGACGTGGTTGGCAGGGAACATCTCTGTGAGCCTTTTCCCCTGAGGAGCATGGCCAGAAGTGTATCCTTTCCTTGGCTCTTCTGAGAAGGGAGTTTGGGCAGAACGAGGCAAGTCTCTCCCAATGGATGGGCTCCCAGAGGATCTCTCTGGAACCACTTCCGAAGCCTAGCTGTGGTCTTCCTTCCACTCCCTGCCTTCCCCTGGGAAGTCAGAGATCACCACCCAGCAGTCAGCAGGAGACCCCGCTTTTACCTGGATGGGAATGCTGTTGTCTGGCAGTGGTGCAGCTGCTGTCCCTCCAGGGTGAGACGATGCCGACGGCATGGGCCCCTCGCCTCGTCCCCTCTCCGTTTGTTCCCCTCAGCTATCCAGGGAATGGGCTGGTTGAGGTGGGGAGCACGGCTGCTCTGTCACTCGCTGGGGGGAGCTGCCCTCTCCTCCCCACCCCAGCCGGACTCTGAAGGATGCAGCCTGCACTTGGAAGGAGAGTGGCGGATGGCAGCGCGGGACGGCCGGGCGAAGCAGGAAGTGAGAGACTGAGTACTGCAGTCACAAACAGCATCCTAGGGGAAGAGAGGAGGAAGTCAGAAAGAGCCAAGAGGCACCAGCTACCCAGAGGCTGGGTGGCCAGCTGGGCAAGGAATTTGGACCCAGCCTTGCCTGAGGAACCGGTTCCCAGAGGCTGTGGCCCCTCTCTAGACCAATTCTTTATAATTGTTTTTCTCCCATTAGAACCATAACAAATGTTCATAAATAACATTCCACAATGTAATCAATTCTGGAACACACAGAGAAAAAAGTAGATGTTATCCGTCAAACATAAATTCTCAACACATTGCACACCCATACATTTATCAAAATGACATCATCTGCTACAGCATAGTTTGTAGCTGCAAAACATAAGCACTTTTCTGTCGTTATGTATATCTAGATTTCCTTCTTCTTAATGGCTATATACTATACATTATTCTACTGAATGGAAACACAGTACCTTAATTTATTTATCCAATTCATTTTTTACATGGCATTTTAGATAGTTTCTAATTTTTTTTACTATTATCAACACACAGGGATAATGGTTAAAAGTGCTGCTATAGAACTAAATTGCTTGGTTCAAATCCTAGCCCTGCCATTTACCAGCTGTGTGACCTTGGATAAGTTACTTAACCTCTCTAAACCTTGATTTCCTTCTCTCTAAGATGAAGGACATGATGCCTTTCCCAAAATGTTGTGAGGGTGAAATTAAATATAACAGGCAAAGCATTTGGCATAGTGCCTACTAAGTACACAATAAATGTTAGCAATTTTTATTAATAATGCCATACATTTATTTATACAAGCATGTTCTCCCACCTCTGTGAATATTTCCATAGGCTACATTCCTAGAAGAACTACTGAGTCAATGGGTAACATGATATTTTACATAGTGAAAAATATCTGGATCAGCTTTAAAATCAACATCCAAAATACCACCTGTGTCTCTTGATATACATGTGGTGATATGGGTGTGATGGTTAATTTTATGTGTCAACTTGACTGGGCCACAAGGTGCCCAGATATTTGGTCACACATTATCCTGAGAGCTTCTGTGAAGCTGCTTTTGGATGAGATTAACCTTTAAATCAGCAAAGCATATTGCTCTCTCTAATGGGGGTGGACCTCATTTAATCAGTTGAAGGCTGGAAGACCAAAAACACTGACTCTCCCTGAATAAGAATTCTTCCTGCCTGATGGTCCTAGGACTGGAACTACAATAGCTACATGCGCTGTACTGGAATTACATCACTAGCTCTCCCGGTTCTCAGGTTTTTGAGCTCAGACTGGAGCTAAACCATCAGCTCTGCTGGGTCTCCAACTTGCCAACTTATCCTCTAGGTTTTAGGACTCCATAATTATGTATGTGAGCCGCCTCATAAAAAAGTGCAAAAAAAAAATTGTCTCGGGCGCCTGGGGTGGCTCCTGCTGCAGTCCGACTTCAGCTCAGGTCAACACCACGACCTCCATTGTGAGTTCGCCGAGCCCTGCGTCAGGCTCCCCCCCCCTGGCTGATGGCTCCAGAGCCTGGAGCCTGCTTCCCAGGGTTCTGTCTCCCTCTCTGCCCCCCTCCCCCGTTCATGCTCTGTCTCTGTCTCAAAAATAAATAAACGTTAAAAAAAAATTTAAAAAAAAATTCTCTCTCTATACACACACATGTACACAGACACACGTATGTATACACACACACAGTCTATTGATTCTGTTTCTCTAAAGAACCCTAATACAATGAGTGTGTTTGGTCTATGAGACTTCAGTGAGGCATATTTTTATGATATGTTCAGTATGTACATTAAACGGAAAAATTTTTTAAAGTTAAAAAAAAGGTAAGAATTTAAAATACTTTTTTTGGGGCGCCTGGGTGGCTCAGTCGGTTGAGCAGCCAACTTCGG